AAAAAATCTGAAAATTTCTGAACTTCAAAGCACATCTGGCTCCAGAGGCTTAAGACTTGTGGACCCGTCATTATGACAATCCTGCTGCTTTGTGATAGGGGTATTTTCATCACTCCATAGATATGTGCCGATTAGGAAGTTCACAGGGCTACCGATGTGTAAATAGCCCTATGGTACAGTGTTTTGTATATTATGGGTCATGAAAATAGCTCAGTGGGCAGTGGCCATAATCTTTTTTTTTTTTTTTAAATGAAGTAAAATAGAAGAGACCAGAATAGAAAAGATCCTGGTACATTCTATTTTTTAAGATTCAGTATTATTTCATGAAGCTTTTGTTTAGTTATGTGTGTGAACGAGTAGTAACGGTATAGTCTTTGTTACTGTGGGTCATGGTTTAAAAAAAAAAAATGTTGGAGAAATCTTGCTGTTGTAGAAATAGCAGGTTTTGGAGGCCAACTCACCTGGGTGAGATCCTAGAGATGACAGATCAGAAATCCCAGAAAGGTCATCCCAGGGTTTCAATTAGACATTGTGTTCTGCCAAAAAAACGTGTAAAAGGTATCTACTGTGCTGGGCCTGAGACACAGCAGTGAGCAAGAGGGAAGGTCCCACCACCTTAATGGGCACCTCTCCCAAACATGTATCTACTGACTGTAACAAGTGCCAGGAACAGTTATGAAGTTGCTTTGTAGGTTCTGATGCACAGTGGAAAGGAGGGGCTGGGGTAGTTTCAATAAATACAAAGTTGTTGTGATTCCTGCAGGGAGCCTCAGGTTCAGCCTGATCCTCCTTTTTTTTTCCCCCCCAAAGGCAGACGCCCAACTGACTGAGCCACCCAGGCGCCCCCAGCCTGATCCTCCTACTTCGGGACATTTTGGGGGTTCATCCAGCATGACCAGGGAGTCAACCCTTGGAGGAAGGGAGACTTTGCCCCAGCTCCCTTGTCCCCCCTGCAGCCCTGCCAGTGGGGAACATGGAGGGGAAGGAGAGGGAGCTTAAACGAGACCTCCAGCTGCTGGGCCCTAGTTGGCTGTGACTGAGGTGAGTTGAGGGCCCCTCTGTCCTAATCAGTCATCCCCAAAGCCTGCACAGCTGGCCTGCCTTTATTCTGGGCTCATTGTCCTCTGGTGGCCCCCAAGTGATCCTCTCTTTATACTGTCACTCCCCTGTGCAGTACCCTTCCAGGAATCCTTGCTGCTTATAGGATAAAATCCACATTTCTCAGCACAATCCTGCATGATCTGAGTCCCACCACCTTCCACGGCATCTTCTGTCTCCCTAAGTAACCAAAACTCCTTTCTTGGCCCGGTGGTAAAATGTTACACTGTACTTTCCAGATTCCCAGCCTTTGCTCAGGCTCCATCCTCTGCCAGAATACCCTACGCGCCATCTCTGGCTGGTAAGTCTTACACAGCCTTCAAGACACAGCTCAGTACCCCCCACATTCTCTGAGCAGTCAGCTCTTCCTGGCTCTGCTCTCCCATAGCGCCCCCTGCTGCCTCCACCATAGCACAGATCCACCTGGATGTGGTTGTTCCTGCCTCCGTCTGTCAGTCCCACCAGACAAGGTGCTCCTTGGGGATGGGTACTGATTGGGACTCACCTCTGGGCCCCCAGGGAACAGCACAGGCCTGGTACACAGGAGTTCTTGAGGTGTTGCTTGAATGATGAAAGAAAACCTTCCTCTACCTGGTAATACCTGCTTATCCTTAATGATCCAACTTGAATATCTCACCCGACCAGGCAGCTTTCCCTGACTCCAAGGCAATGTTTTCACGCCCTTTCCTGGCCACAGCCCTGGATACCGCCCTCTGTCACAGCCCTATCTCCTTATGCTATCAGCATGCCTGAATGGCCCCTCTAGGCCAAGGACAGGGTCTGACACCTCTGTGCCTCCAGCATCCTCAGAGGGGTCTGGCACACAGGAGAAATGACTGTTGAATGAATGAATGCATGCTCTGACCTTGTCACTGGCCAGTATAAAACTCTCTGTGGCTCCCCAGTGCCCCACGAATCAAGTCCAGGGTCTTCCCACACCCTCCACCACTATTTCCAGGGGTGCTGCTGTCCGGCAAAGTCGAGGAGTCCAGGAAAGGAAGCTTCTTGGGACTCTCTAATCTGGCTCCTGGTGAGAAAACCTCTTTGGCTAATCCCTTCCGACAGGGTATAGACAGCAACAGTTTCAACTACAAATAACAGAACACTCGACTCAACCCAGTTTAAACTGTCAGTAGATTCTGTAGGGCACATAACCGAAAAGGCCAGCGGGGGTGCTGGCTTGATCCGCCAGCTCACCCAGTGTGACCAAGACCCAGTTTATCGTCCCCATCTCTCAGCCCCACTACCTCTTGGCTCCAGCCTTGTCCCGAAACAGCTGTCAGAACTGCACGCCCCCATGTGCCTCCTACAGGTAGGCTTTGTTCTAGGAGCTGTATCGACACACTAGGGAATCAGCTGATGTGGTCCCTGCCGTCATGTAGCTCCCATGTTACCGGGGGGGTAAGAGCGTGTCTGCTTGGGAGGGCTGCTGTAACAAAGTGCCTTGAATGACAGAAATGTATTGTCTTAGTTCTGGAGGCTAGAAATCTGAAGTCAGGGTGTCCGCAGGGCCCCTTCCTTTTGGAGGCTGTGGGGGAGAATCCCTTCCAGGCCTCTTGCAGCTTCTAGAGGGGCCTGTGTTCCTTGACTCATGGTCACATCCCTCTCACCTCTGCTTCCTTCATCACCTTGCCTTCTCCCTCCTTTGACTCCCTCTGCCTCTTATAAGGATATTGGTAATGACAGTTAGGGCTCACCTTGATCATCCGGGAGAACCTCCCCATCTCAGGATCCTTAACGTGTCACACCTGTGAAGTCCCCTTTGCCGTACAAGGTAACAGTTGTGGGTTCTGGGGATTAGAACATGGATGTCTCTGGGGGACCGTTATGTCTCAGGTCTAAAAGGGTATCTCAAACTTACCTTGCACCAGACCAAACTCAGACTCTGCCCGGAAACCTGCTTCTCCCACGTCTCCGGAAGCTGCAGCTCTATCCTTCTGGTTGCTCAGGCTAAAATTTTAGAGACGTCTGGGCTCCTCTCTGTCTTTCACCACTACATTTGATCTCTTAGGAAATGTTGTCAGCACCATCATCAAAATGTCTACATCTCGTCCTGTCACCCCACTCTCCATCCCTGTCTCATTTCTCGTCTGGATCATGGAATTCATCTTTTTGCTCGTCTCCCTGCCTCTGCCCTTCCACCTTTTATCTTTTTCCAGGAGGAGGATCCTGTTTAGAATATCCTTAATTGATACGCTTAATTTTTGAGAAATCTTTCTGTTGTATTTTTTTTTTTTTTAAGTAGGCTTCATGTCCAGTGCGGAGCCCAGCACGGGGCCTGAACTCATGACCCTGAAATCAAGATCTGAGTTGAGATCAGGAGTCGGACGCTCAACCAACTGAGCCACCGAGGTGCCCCGAAATCTTCGTTGTAAAATAAAGCACAAATGCAGAAACCCATGCACGTCAAATGAATGACTTAATGAAGGCAAACACCAACCAGGTCAAGAGTGAGACCTTGGCCATCCTGGAGGCCCTTTGTGGGCTGCATTCCAGCCCTCTCACGTACCCATAAATAACCTGATTTTTGTAGTCATCACTTCCTTTTTTAGAGAAGTGAGGGGGGAGAGGCAGAGGGAGAGACAGTCTCAAGCAGACTCCATGCCCAGCATGAAGCCTGATGCTGGACTCCATGCCACAACCCTGAGATCATGACCTGAGCAGAAATCAAGAGCTGGATACCCAACCGACTGAGCCACCCAGGTGCCCCTTCCCTCTGGTTTTTTGAACAATAGTTTTATCACCCAAGTGCATGTCCCTGTTGCCCCTTCTCTTTTTTTAATGCTTTTTTTTAGGGGTTTCTTAAAATACAGGTTCCTCCTCTATCCCGTTCTGTCTTAATAGCTTGTCCATTGAAGAACCAGGGCTGTTTGACCTGTAGAATTTTTCCCAGTCTGTTTTTTTTTTTTTTTTTTGCTGGTTACTTACTTTTGGTGCTATTCAGCACGCTCCCAGTTGGTGGCTGGATTCAGAGGCTTCATCAGCCTCAGCCAGTCCTTTTGTCAGAACTTGGAGGGGTGCCTGAGTGGCTCAGTTGGTTAAGTGTCTGCCTTCGGCTTGGGTCATGATCCCGGGGTCCTGGGATTGGTCCCCACGTTGGGCTCCCTGCTCAGTGGGGAGACTGCTTCTCCCTCTCCCTCTGCTGCTCCCCCTGCTTGTGCTCTCCCTCTCTGTCAAAAAAAAAAAAAAAACCGTAAAAAAAAATGATTGGATAACTTAAAAAAAAAAAGAACTCGGGGAGGCCCAGAATGTCCGGTTCTCTCTTTTTGTGATCCTGGCAGGAATTGATACTTACTGCCTTCTCATCTCAGCATTCCTCAGGGCTTGCAAGATGGTGGTGCTCTAATTCGTTCCTTTTCATTAGTTGGAATACTCTTATAAAAAGATATCTCCTTGGGGTTCCTGGGTGGCTCAGTTGGTTAAGTGTCTGACTCTTGGTTTCGGCTCAGGTCATGATCTCAGGGTTTTGAGATTGAGCCCTGCGTTGGGCTCTGCACTGAGCGTGGAGCCTGTTGAGATTCTATCGCCCTCTCCCTCGGCCCCTCCCCTGCTGCATGCACTCTCTCACTCTCTAAAAAAAAAAAAGATACCTCCTTTCATCTTCTATTTGGTAACCCACTGGTACAGTTCATATAGCAGAGGTGGGATAAATGCTTGATTCTTTCCTCTTATTTACCAATTTTCAGTATAAGATCAGTTCCTTCCTATCATCCTTTGAAGATGAGCATTTTTTTTTAACATACCCACGTGTGTGTGTTGACTGTTACTAAGAGTTTTACAAAGCATTTTCCACAAATATCAATATGACACACCCAGGCTAACTTCCATAAGAACTAGACTCTTCTCTTCTCTGCCATGTGCCTGGCATGAGGCAGGCTCAGAGCAGGTGCTCGGTGGTCCCTGGACGATGGGTTGTGCTGTGGAGACGGTCCTCGGCTCACTGAGTCCCCACAGGAGCAGTATTTTAGAGATGAGGAAACAGGGCCTTAGAGACAGGGAATAACAAGGTCCTGTGGTTAATAAATAGCGGAACCAGAATTTGATTTGGGGGTCTGACAGACTACAGAGTCATGCCTCTAACTAGTTGGCTTCCTAGGGTCACACAGACAGGGGGCTCTCGCTCTTTTGCCCCCACTTAGCGAGTGTGTGACTCGGGGCAGGTGAATTTGATTCTCTGGGCCTCAGTCTTACCTTCTGTAAATTGTGGACAATCCTGCTTTCAAGGAGTTGGTGAGTGAGGACTCCTGGCTGAGACTTGTGATGGGGATGGAGAGGTGTGGAACTGTCCTTTGGTCCCTTTGGTTGGGTCCTTTCTACGTGGTAGGAGGACTCAGTCGCTTCTTGGAGCAGCGATTCATGCCATGGGTTTCGTTAGTCCCATCTTACTAATGGGGTAGGAATCAGGGTTCAGAAGGGGCATGTGACTTACTTGCCAGTGGTCATCCACAGGGAAGGTAGCGGCGCCAAGTGCCAAGCCCAACTAGAGACTCAGGTTCCGTTCTTAGGTAAAACATGCCTGTAGGGGCACCTGGGTGGTGCAGTCGGTCACGTGTCTGACTCTTGGTTTTGGCTCAGGTCACGATCTCATGGTCATGGGATCGAGCCCTGCATCGGGCTCTGCTCTCAGCATGGAGTTTGCTTGAGAGTCTTACCCCCTCTCCCTCTCTCTCTCTCAAATGAATGAATAAATCTTTAAAAAAAACCCATGCCTGTGTGTGCATTGATAGCAGTCTGGAGAGAGCACACCAGAGAGCCATGGGTCCTGCTGGAGACGGGATGCTTGGGGTAAGGCTGGCACTTTTTTTTTTTTTTAAAGATTTTATTTATTTGAGAGAGTGAGAGAGGGGTGAAAGACAGAGGGAGAAGCAGACTCCCTGCTGAGCAGAGAGCCCGATGTGGGGCTCAATCCCAGGACCCCGGGATCATGACCTGAGCCAAAGGCAGATGCTTAACCAACTGAGCCACCCAGGTGCCTCCCCAACCCTTTTTTAAGTAGGTTCCACACCCAGCGTGGAGCCCAACACAGAGCTTGAAATCATGACCTTGAGATTAAGACCTGAGCTGAGATTAAGAGTAAGATGCTTAACCAGCTGAGCCACCCAGGCACCCCAAGGCTGGCCCTTTATTATCAATACTTTTCGAGTATTTGAGGGTTTATTCTAAGTACGTATTCACTAGGAAGTTTTCAAATTAAGAAAGATGATGTCACTTACAGTTGGACATTTGGGTGCCTCAGGCCGTCATGCAGCCCAAAATGGACCCAGCACCACCTATGAGGGCTCTTGCTTCCCCTCAGAAGTCGTACTGAATCTAATCAGGCCGCTTACCAAGCAGTTTCTGGGAGATGCGGTGAGCCGAGGAGCAGCCAGATGACAGCGAGAGGAATCGCCACGTCTACAATGTGGGACCTTCAGTCGGGATGGTGGAGAATGAAGAGGGCAGAGGGTACAGCTGTAGATTAAAAACCTTCAGAGCCATGTCAGCCCAATGCAGGGCATGGGCCACTTTGGCTTCTGATTCAAACAAGCCAGCCAGGAAAACATACCATTGAACCCACAGTGGTCAAATCATAGAAAGCAGATTGGTGATGCCAGGGGCTGGGCTGGGGCTGGGGGTGGGGAGATGGTGGTTAAAGGGGACAGAGTTTCAGTTCTGCAAGGTGAAGAGAGTTCTGGTGATGGCTGCATAATGTGAATGCGTTTAATGCCACTGGATGAAGTGGCATTTTTTTTTTTTTTTTACAATTAAAAAGGAAAAAACCACCATTGAGATGTCAGACAAATCTGCATTCAGACTTTGAATATGGTCTAGGTATTCAGTGATTAAGGAGTTCTGTTGTAAATATTGAAGTATTCACAGGGGAAATCAGATGCTGCCTGGGATTCATTTTGAAACATTTTGTGCCCCCTGCAAAAAAACTAATGAACAAAATAGACCAATGTTAACGGGTTGAGGTCAGGCGATGGGTACATGGCGGTCTGTTACATGCAAATCTCTACTTCTGTATATGTCTGAAAATGTCCATAATAACTTAAAATCTTGAATGAACACTCAAAAGCAAGAGCCACAGTAAATAGATTTTAGCAACAGACAGACATGGATTTAAGTCCTGCCTGTGTGACCTTTAGGGGACCTCACGTCCACTCTCCAAGATTCCATATCTCGCCTATAAAATATGGGGATGCCCAGTCTCTTATGTCTCAGGGCTCCCAGGAGATGATTTTTGTCAAAGGCCTGGTATGTTGAGAGCACAGAGGTGCTCAGAGTGAGCCATTGGGTCCTTCCCTGACCCCAGTCCCGGTGTCACTGACAGCATGTCACATTTCAGGAATTTGTGCCCCTCGGGGATGCAGCCATGGACTTCACATTGGAGGACTGGGAGCACCTGGGGCTGGACCAGGGGGACCTGTTCTGGGACACAGCGCTGGACAACTACCAGAACCTATTCCTGCTGAGTGAGTGTCCACTCTAGCCCCGGGGTCCTGGTCACTGCCCTGCTCAGTGGCTCCTGTCCCCCAGGATAAACTCGGCTCCTGAGCGCCAGAGAACCAGCATGACGTGGCCCAACAGTGCTCAGCTGGCCAGTTCTGGCCACAAACCCCCCTCCAGGGACATTGGCAATGCCCTAGCTGATTATCAGCACTTGGGAGTGGGGGGTGTGCGCCTGGCATCTCGTGGATAGAGCCCAGGCTTGCTGCCACATGTCCTGGAATGCAAGGACAGCCCCTACAGCCGAGGATTATCCGACCCCAAATGTCAGAAGTGCCAAGGTTGAGAAACCCTGATCACCCCCACCTGCTGCTCTGGCCTCGTCAGCACTTTCCTCTTCGTCGTTGTAGAGCTGACAGGCAGAGTCCTTGCATCTGCCTTCCCCTCTGCTAGAAGACTCGTCCCCTCCCTGCCCCCAGGACAGCCTGTGAGCAAGTCCTCCTCTGTCTCCTGCTTTGCTCACCCACCACCCCCGCACTTGCTAACTGCTCATTAGATGCTCTGTCTCCTGCAGCTGGGACGGGTGCCCCCTGAGGGCGGGGACTGTCCACCCATGCTGCTCACGGGTATATCCCCAGTGTCTGGAACAGTCTGTACCTGCCGTGGGGACTCACTGAGCGGCGGCTCAGTAAATGCAGGAGCAGTTGAGTCAGGAGCCGGGTCTCATGCTGGGTCAGCTGAGAACTGCCCTTTAATCCTACCGTCCCCCCACGAGGAAGTCTGACTCCCTGTTTTGTGGGCCCTTCTGAAATCGAGGTCCACAGAAGGGAAGTCACCATCTCAGCTATGCTGAGGTCCCCACAAGCACCCTGTGTTTGGTGGTGCACGAGGAGGACTCGCAGGACTCAGCATGTAGTACTCCCGGCCACGACATATTACAGAGAAAAGACCCAGCATGGGCAGCAAAGGGGAAACCAGAGCCAGCTTCCAGAGCCCTCTGCCTGTGGAGTCCCGCAGGATGCGTACCGAGGTGACAACACATGTGAAATGTCTACCAGGGACGCTCGTTAAAGAGACTCAGTGCCCATAATTTTTATTGGGGGCTGGTCACAGAGGCACGCTCTGCCTGGAATGTACCAGAATTCTAGACTCCCAGCAGGAAAGCAGGTGTTCAGCATGACCCTTGGGGCACAGCTCATCTTGGTTCGGGAAGTCTGCCACCCTCCTCAAATCCAGGTGCCCAGACACCAGCCAAGGGCCAGCCTTGCAGATTTTCTCTCAACTCTGCCCAGTGTGTGCTACAGAAGCAGCTTGGCTCAGACCTCCGTGTCTTTTCTATTTTTAAACTATGGCCCACAATAAATGCATGTTTCCCTTGACTCCCCTGCACACGTGTGTGTACACCCGAGCAGAGTATTAGCTTCCTATGGCTGCTCTTACTCATGCCACGAACACAGCAGCTTAAAACAATTCTTATAGTTCTGGAGGTCGGAAGTATGAAACGGGTCTGACAGGGCTAAAATCAGTGTGTTGGCAGGGTTCGATCCTTTTGGAGGCTCCAGGGAAGAGTGTTTCTTTGCCCCTTTTCAGCTTCTAGAGGCATCTGCTTTGCTTGGCTTACGGCCCTCTCATTTTCAAGCCAGAAGGGGCTTTTCCTCCACTGTAGCTCGGACCCCCGGTATTATGACTCTGCTCCCTTCCTCGAGCAGTTAGTTTGCAGAGGGCAGAGCGCGGGGCCGACTGGGCTGTGGGAACCCGGCATGCTCCATCCCAGGCCCGGCCTGTGGAGGCCTCAGGTGATGCGCGCTCCCTGGGTGAATGCGTGAGCTGTGGATGGCTGAGTAAGTACGAGCCTCTCCACCTGGCAAACCGTTCATTCCTCAAGAGCTGCTGCAAGTCCTTTGTATCCCCAGCCCCGGATGCCACAGCTCTGATCACCCTAGATTGTGACTGTCTGGGTCCCTCTCCTCCACTGGACTGGGAACCCAGCAGGGCAGGTGTCCCTGGAGTCGCCCAGTGCAGCGTCTGGCCCTGAGGAGCAGTATGCTGGATAAAGCATTGGCTAGGCAGGAGAGCCAGGAGGTTCCCGCTACGCAGCTGGCTGGTCCTCCATGTCCTAGTTGATGACAGTGCTCTTCTCTGCCTGCAGACCCCTCCAAACCCAAACTGACCTCCCATCCAGATGGCACTGAGGAGCTGAAGGTCCTGGTGAGAGAAAGCCCAGAATCGGCGGGCCCTGGTGAGTGGGCAGGGAGGGGAGGGCGGTGGGCCCGTGCCAAGTGGCCCCTTGTGTGCCGTCCGTCTTTGGAACTTCCGTCCAGATCCAGAATGTCTATCCAGACATCTTGACCCCAGGCTGATGAGTGTCACTCTGCCATGTGCTGGCTTCTGTCCGCTCATCCTGGCAGGTTGGGACCCTCCCTCTGCCGGCCTGTCTCATCTCCATCTACATCAGTGTTCAGCATGCGGCTGTTCTGGTGCCTTTCCTCTGTCCCCTCTTCCATCTTTTCAGGCTGAGCAGGAGGTGGCCTTCCAGGCCCTGATTCAGTCTGTCCACCTTCCTGCCTTGTGCCTGTTGAGCCCTGCGAACCCCCGGTCTGTTTCACCCCTCTTTGCACAGGTCCGTCCCACAGGGCATAGCGGGGGGCTGCATCTGTGAATAACGCAAGCCCAGGCCTTAATGCAGCCAAGAGCATTTGTTCGGGTCTCTCCTAGGCCATGGTTCCTCTGGGTGGAGCAGGTTAGGCAGTGAGGGTATTAACCTGGTTGAGATGTCCCCAGTGGGAAAAGGCAGAGACAGGGGCCTTGCCTGGGGCACAGGAGGCTGTTCTCATGGTCAGATCATTAACACGAGAAGGGCCCCCGAATCAGAGATCACGGTGGGGTGGCCTCATGGCTCGGTCTCAGCCTCCACCACCCAGTCAGGGTGCAGCTCTGTTCTTGGCTCACTGCTTGTGAGCTCATGCATGTGGACCCTCTGTAGCCTCCTGTCGAGCACACCAGTGTTTGTGCATAGGTGACCAGCCCAGCACAGAATCCGGCCACCTCAACAACGTATGCTGTTTCCACGCACATGTAGCCGTGCCTTTACCAACCCAGTCTGTCCTCCGCTGGTAATAACGGTAGTGCGTTACTGTCATTTATCTCTCTTTCCCCGTTGAACAGTGCCCTTCTCCCGGAAGCAGGCCATAGCTGATGGGGGTAATGGCAGAGAGCATCCGCTGAGAGGCTCCCCTTCCCAGTGGAGCCCCTGTGGCTGCCCAGTTCCCCACTTAACTGTCCTGGAAACGGGCTCTCTGTTTCCTGTGATGCTAGTTCCAGCCAGGTCACGACTTCGGCCCCTGCTCCTTCATTACCTTGAGGACAGGCTGACTGAGGAGCCATCACCCGTTCTCCCTCTTGTCTGTGTTCTCACCCTGCAGCTCCAGACTTTTTTACCCTTGGGAACAGGAGACATCTGCACTTTCTCTCTCTTTCAGACACAGCTGAGGTCAAGAACTGTCTTCTGGCCCACGACTTCTTGGAAGAAGGACTCTCCCAGGAGATCGTGGAGACGTTTTCCAAGGATGGCCTCTGGAACTCCAGTTGGGGGAAAGCCTGTGTAGGTGAGAGTTGGTTAGATAGTATCCTAGGGGATCCAGAAAGTTTTCAGAGGTCTGACTTTGTTACCAACAAGGAAAGTCCCATAGAATGCAGGAGTCACGAACTCAAGAGAGACCTTGGTCCTGAGTCTCTCCTTTCCACAGGAGAGGATTCTGTGATTCACAGTCTTCCTGAAAAGAGCCTGGCACCAGCTACGTCTCCAGAACATGGGAGTGACTTTGGCTGTGACTTAGACCAGAGCCGGCAGGAGACTCTCCAGGAAGGGGAGAAACTGTATAAATGTAGTGAATGTGGGAAGAGCTTCAGCCAGAGTTACCACCTTATCCAGCACTGGATTATTCATACTAGAGAGAAACCCACTGTACATCAAGAGTATGAGGAATGTTTTAGCCAGAGTTCTTGCCTCTTTGTGCCTCCAGTGACTCACACAGGCTACAAATCCTGTGTGTGTACCAAGTACGGGAAAACTTCCAGTCAGAATACACACCTTCTGTGGCATCAGAAAATTCACACTGGAGAAAACCCATCTAAGAATCAAGATGGTGACCAGCCATCAGGTCTTGGCTTACAGCCTGCTGAGCATCAGAAAACCCACACGGGGGGTCAGTCCTACAGATGTAGCGAGTGTGGCAAGAGTTTCAGCCTAACCTTTCATCTTACTCAGCATCAGAAGACCCATACCCGGAAACACTATGAATGTTCCAAATGCAAGGCGACCTTCAACTTCCATAAATACCTCCTCCAACACCAGAAAATCCATGCTGCGAACACGCCCTCTGAGTGTCAGGAATGCGGGAAGACCTTCAGGCGGAGTTTGCTGCTTGTCGAACACCAGTCTGTTCACACTGGAGAAAAGCCTTACAAGTGTGATCAGTGTGGGAAACCCTTCAGGAATATCTCAACCCTAAAGATCCACCAGAGGGTTCACAGTGGAGAGAAACCTTACAAATGCAGTGAGTGTGGGAAAGCCTTCTACCGGAACACTCACCTTAATGAACATCAGAGGATTCACACTGGCTACCGGCCCTATAAATGTCACAAATGCATCAAGAGTTTCAGCCGGCCCTCCCACCTGATTCGACACCAGTCCATCCATGCCACAGAAAAACCCTACAGCTGTGCCAAATGCAAGGAAACTTTCAGCCACAATGAACACCTTGTCCAACACCAGAAAATGCACAATGTGGAGACCCTGTATGAGTGTCAGGAGTGTGGTGAGCGCTTCATCTGCAGCTCCACCCTAACTTGCCACCAGACTGTTCACACCAGAGAAAAACAAGGACTTGGTGAGAGCAGGAGGATCCTGAATCAGGACTCAGAGCAGAGAGAGCAACCAGGAATTGGCGAGAAGCACTTTAAGTGTGATAAATGCGAGAAAACCTTTAGCCGCAGCAAATACCTGACTCAGCACGAGAGGGTTCACACCAGGGTGAAGCCCTTTGAGTGTAACCAGTGTGGAAAAGCCTTTGCCCAAAGTACACAGCTCATTCGCCACCAGAGCATCCACTCTGGGGCGCGGCGGTATGAATGTGGGGACTGTGGGAAGGCCTTCATCCACAGCACTTCCCTCACCAAACATCAGTCTGTCCACAAGAGCAAGCACCCCTTTAAATGTAATGAATGTGGAAAGACCTTCAGTGAAAGTGCACATCTCTCAGAACACTGGTTAATTCACACTGCAGAGAAACTCTTTCAGTGTAACAAATGTGACAAAGCTGTTGCCCATGGTAACTACCTTACTCAGCATCCGAGAGCTCATGCCAGAAAGAAGTCCTTTGAGTGTAATGAATGTGGAAAATCATCCCATCAGAGCTCGTGCCTTTCTAAGCATCAGAGAGATCACACAGGTGAGAAACCCCACAAATGCAGTGACTGTGGGAAAACCTTCAGCATGGGTGCTCAACTCATTCAACACCAGAGAGTTCACACCAGAGAAAAGCCTTATGTTTGTCAGGAATGTGGGAAAGCCTTCAGCCAGAGCTCATGCCTTTCTGTTCACCAGCGAGTTCATACCGGAGAAAAGCCTTATGTTTGTCAGGAATGCGGGAAAGCCTTCAGCCAGAGCTCGTGCCTTTCTGTTCACCAGAGAATTCATACTGGGGAGAAGCCTTACATGTGTGCTGAATGTGGGAAAGCCTTTGCTCAGAAAGCAAATCTGATGCAGCATGAGAGAGTTCACACTGGGGAGAAGCCTTATGCCTGTAGGGTCTGTGGGAAAGCCTTTGGCCTCAGTGCCCATCTCAGTCAGCACCAGAGAGTTCACACCCAAGAGAAACTAGCAATGTCAACCTTGTCAGCCCTTTGCTGCAGGTCTCAGCAGACATCAGCAAGTTCACACTTACAGGTAACAAGGAGTTAAGTAGAAAGTAACAAGTAGCAATACTTCCTACTACTGGGTTGCAGCAAAGTCCCAGACATCTGAACATGGTTCACCTGAGTCCTAAAGTTGAAATCACATTGTAAGCTCCCTCTCCCCAAATAAATACATCTCTTTATCCATAAAGAGTGATTAGAAAATTTGTACCCGAGTTTCATGAAAACACAGTAGTTGAGAACATGGGAATTCAGAGGTAGACCTGAGCCAGTTGGCTGAGTTAAAATCCCAGCTCTGACACGTGCTACCGGAGTGTTCTGGGGAGAGTCATGGGACCTCCTAGGGCCTCAGCATCCTCATCTGTAAAATGGGCACAAGACAATTACCTATCTCAGAGGACTGTTGTGAGGATAAATAAATAGATGTAAAGAAGCACTTTGAACTGAGTGCCCAGCACGTAGTAAGTACTCACCAAATGTGAGCTACAGATACTTATGATATACAACAAATATATTAAAAAGAAGGGAAGAATTAGCAATCCTCTATTTACTGCAGTTAATGTTCTTGCTGATACTGTGTGGTGGCTTTCATTTTTTAAAAAGATTTTATTTGAGAGAGAGAGAGCAGGAGCAGGGGTGAGGTGCAGAGGGAGAGAGAGAATCAGGCTCCCTGTTGAGCAGGGAGCCCAACCCAGAACTCGATCCCAGGACCCTGAGATCATGACCTGAGCCAGGCAGATGCCCAACCAACTGAGCCACCCAGGTGCCCCTCGTTTTTGTTTTTTGTTTTTTTAAGATTTTACTTTTAAGTAATATCTATACCCAACGTGGGGCTCAAACTGACCACTGAGACTAAGAGTCATATGCTCTTCTGACTGAGCCAGTTAGGTACCCTTGCATCACTTTTATTTATTTACTTTTTAGATAGTTTTTTTTTTTCAAGATTTTATTTATTTTAGAGTGAGTGGGAGGGACAGGAAGAGAGAATCTGAAGCAGATTCCACGCTAAGCGCAGAGCCTGATGCAGGGCTTGATCCCACAACCGTGAGATCACAACCCCAGCCAAAACCAAGAGTTGGATGCTCAATTGGCTGAGCCACACAGGTGCCCCACATAGCTTTCATTTTTAAAGGTTTCTCCAAAATGCCCCTGGCTAAATTTGGTTCCCAAAACCCAGCACCTTGCTCTTTTCTTTAAGTCTAGTCGTTTCCTTCCCTCTGCTCCGTCGTACTTTCTTAATTAACCCACAGAAGCCAAGAAGAGCATGTAAACTAACACCAACTAGTTAGAACTTTCCACTCCTAACCTCCAAAACCTCCCACTCAAAAGGACACCCTCCCACATATACATGTCACCCCTTCCCATAATTTAAAGTTGGTTATACAGCATGAGGCCCAGTTTGCTGTGGGAGTTAATGGTACTGGAAGCAGTCGGATTCCTCTGGGAAAGCTGCATTTTATATTTGCTACACAGTTCACAGATGTCCTTGATGGTGGAAATTGTAGTATACAGAAATGACAGCTAACATATTCCTCATGTACTGTTTGTCCAAGCCAGCCACTCACCAGGCACTTTGTCAGGCTCCAGGGTAGGGAATACCAATGCGGTAAGCCCTGCCCTTGCCTGGAAACTTCTGGAATCAAAGGGAAGTGGATGGCCCCGTTTCCACAGAGAAGTACCATTCATTGACAAGTGACATGTTAAATTCCCTCATGTCACAGCAAGTTCTGGGACTGTGGCGGAGTGCTGGAGAGCCCAGGGAGAACACCATCCTGTTGGAGCCCTCAAGTCAACTGCTTAACCTTGGCCAGGCCTGTTCTACAGCTGAGACACCTTGTGGAACCACACGATCAGCTCCCTCTTGATGATACTTCCTCAGCTCTGGGTTTTTGTGTCTCACCCACTGAATGACCAGTGACATGTTTCCTGAAGCACAAACAGAATCTAATGAAGACACTGACACTTGTGATATCTTTCATGTTTTTGGTGCTACAAAAGCTTAGGAATATGTGCTCTGTGCTCTTGAGCTTTTTAAACCTTGCACCTTGAGTTCTGCTGGTTGGTTTTGTTGTTGTAACTAAGAACTGATTGGCTGACCACTGGGCCCACACCACAGTGGGGAACATACTGGTTTTCAAATGGCCAAAACATCGAACTCCCTGCACATGGTCCCCGCCCTCCGATCGCTGTGTAGTCTGTGCGACGGGCCTGTTCTCTACCAAAGGGGCAGAACAGAGGCAGGAACTCGAACTGATGAGTGTGTTCAAGGAGAGTTTTGACACCAAAGAGAGAGGTCAGAGGCCCTGTGGAAAATTGGCAGCCATGGTGGGGGGCAGTCTCTGTAACTACTGACCTGTGTTGCTGTGGGGCAGTGCGGAAATGCCCTTCATGTGTGCGTTTTGGTTCTCTTAGGTTCTCTGATTAAAGTTTTGAGTCTATAAGCGTTGGTTGCTTCTTTCAGCCTGCTGCCACGTACCTGGCTAGATGCTGGGCACACGGAGGCCCCCAGGCCTGCCAAGTGCTCATGTTCTGGAGGAGGAGGGCTTCTCACAGTGAACACTGCCCCATGAGAGGGGATAGTTATGTCTGTTGTCCCAAAGTGTGGGTGGGGCATGGACACCGGGGAACCACACAGGTTTGCTGGTCCTCAGATACATCATCAGACCACACTTCGTTCTAGTGTGATCCTGACTGAGGAGGAAGCATCGACCGCATGTCGTTCACTCCTCTCTGGATACAAAGACACAGCAGGCCTCAGGCTCAGGCAGTCATTGTAGATAGAAATTAATACTATTTTCCTCTCGGTATTTATTTTAGTTCCTTTCCCCCACCCTTCTTCCTTTACTGACAAGAGAAACTAGTTTCCCACTCATGGCAGTAGTAGAAAATCCTCTTGAAAAATAAATCGATTTAGAGGCTCCTGGGTGGCTTAGTTGGTTAAGTGCCTGACTCTCGATTTTGGCTCAGGTCATGATCTCAGGGTCCTGAGATTGAGCCCCAAGTCAGGCTCCACGCTCAGCAGGGAGTCTGAGATGCTTTCTGCCCCTCTCCCTCTGCCCCATCCTCCACTTGTGCTTGCTCTCTCTCAAATAAATAAATCTTTAAAAATTAAATCAGTTAGGGGTGCCTGGGTGGCTCAGTTAAGCATACGACTCTTGATTTCAGCTTAGGTCTTGATCTCAGGTTGTGAGTTTAGGGGGGAACACTGAGTTTGGCTAAGGCTCAAAGGATATCCTCCTGCCAAGGATAACTAAGCGTGTCAGGATGAGCCAGATTAATGCTGTGCCAACACAGTTAAGTGTCACATCTCAGTGGTTGAACACAAGTTTATTTTGCTCACTCATGCTACATGTCCACTGTGGGTTGGTGAGGGTGAGGTGGGGTGGGGAGGAGGTGGGGCTGTATCTCTATCCACCTGAGAAGTCAGCGTTCCCTTTTTGAGTCTGTTGATCCTTCTGGTCACCTCAATAAGGAAGCGGCTTTCGGGGCACCTGGGTGGCTCAGCTGTTAGGCGTCTGCCTTCGGCTCGGGTCATGATCCCAGGGTCCTGGGATCGAGCCCTGCGTCCGGCTCCCTGCTCCGCAGGAGGCCTGCTTCTCCCTCTCTCTCTGTCTCTCTGTCAAAAAATAAATAAAATCTTAAAAAAAATAAGGAAGCGGCTTTCACACCTGCATCTATCTCCCTGTCTCCTCTTTCAGGCAGAGCAGGACTCTGCGGCTCTGCACTTGGGGTGGACAATCTGAAGTTCCTTTATTTACTCCTACAGCAAACTTCCATTCATGGCATACGATACTGGTTGTCCACTCACAGTTGTGGGTGAAAGGCTTAAGGGGTGTTGATTGAAATCAATGGGTCAGGAGAATCTTGGTGCAGGTAGCTGGCATCTTAGGCAGAAAGAAGGTGGCTGCTCGGCAAACACCCAAGCAGGGGGCACGCGGACGCCTAATGTTGAGAAGATACTGCTCTAAGGAAACTACCTAGGAGCCTACTGTATAAAACATGAAAGTGGATGCACCCTGGCCAAAGGGGAAGGAGGAGCACCCCTGCCCCCACCATGGCCCCAGCCCCAGGGCACTACTGGACAGCCCACAAACCTCTCTTCTGGAGGTGCTTTCCAAAGCTGCCTGGAAACAAACATGGAGCCCTGTGACAATATCCCAGGTGAGGTAGATCCACTGAGATCTGAGCAAGCAGCAGAGATCTTGCGGTGCTCTCTGCCAAGGGGACTCCCTGGGAGGCTGGGAAGTGCAGCAGTCCTGAAGGAAGTGGTTCCCCACCTTGTGCCATCATGACCCAAATGACCACAACATCCCATGCACCTCATGTGCTGGGGTACGAGATAAAAGCTGTTGGCATTGCTAGTTACAGTGAACGTCTGTCACCTCTGAGATCCACCCTTCACCTCCCCAATGGTCCTGCCTTCTCTTGGGGACACATGTAGCTCTGTGTCCTCTACATTCCATCCCCCGTTCTAGGCAAAGAATATATGGCCTAGTTTGGCCAATCAGCACTCCCATCCCTGATCACTGTGATTGATTCAGAAATGGGCCTGACCTAAGCTGGGCCAAGCACAGAGAATCTCAGGACCTCTGCTAAGAATGCCGGAGCAAAGATGCTTTCTTGCTGGCCATGAGCAAAAAATGCACGGAACTGTCGCTGGCAAAGCCACCTAGACAGAGCTGCTAGGGATGGCAGTGGGTTAAACAGTGTCCAGAATTCACACTCATCCACACAGAGTGTGGCCTTGTTTGGAAATAATTAAAGGCTTGAGGTGACCTTATACTGGGAATCCAACCACAGGCATCCTTACAAGAGGAAAGGCCACAGACACAGAGAAGAAGGTCATGTGGGGATGGGAGACCGAGGCGGGGGTGATGTGGCCACAAGCCAAAGAACACCAGGAGCCACCAGAAGCTGGAAGAGGCAAGGAAGGATCCTCCCCTCAAGCCTTTGGAAGGAACACTGCCCTACGTACACCTTGATTTTGGACTTCTAGTTTCCAGAATTGACAGAATAAATCTCTGTTGTTTTAAGCCACCAAGTTTGTGGTACTTTGTTACCACAGCCCTAGGAAACTAAAACAGGGACTCGCTCTTAGATGAATCAACATTTCAGGAACTGAAGTAAGCAGACAGGACAAATCTGGTGAAACTGTTGAGCTCCTGGATCAAACCTTACCTGAGCACATTCACTTTGGACTTTGAAGTTGGCCAAAGCCCATGACTCCCCTATTTGTTTAAGCCAGGTGGAGGTGGGTTTTCTATTCATCCCAGCCAAAGAATTCCTGGCTGATAAACTGGTTTAATTCACCACTTCATCCCTCAGAAAAGCATGTTAATACATCAAAAGTGAGGGAGACATTAATGAATCTATTCTCACTGAGGTTTTTAAACTGATTACTTGCAAGCTTTGGTGCCATTTTAACTATACAGAGAAGACCTCATAACTGAGCAGGACCCCCCAGCGGCTGAAAGGCATCATGGTTGAGATCGCTGGTCTCACTCTAGACCCAAAAGGTTGCTTGAGTGCCCCCACTGGGTGGAGCCCCCTAAATGAAAACCATCTGAGGTTTGTGACAGTCACACTCTGAATGCACATGAAAGCGATCATGCATGACAGATGAATAAACAAAATGTGGCACATCCCTGTAGTCCCAGGGCTACACTGGGAAGTACCAGTGTCAACTGGGGGCAGGAAAAGGAGAGAAAAGCGAGGCCAGTTTTGAGGGCGGGGGTTTCCATAGGAAAGCCAAAGCAAGGAAGAGCACTGCTCAGGTCTGGCCAGTCTGGATGATTCCAGTGGGCTCTGAGGCACCAGGGCTGTCCCCACTTGCCTGGTACCTGGCCCTGGGATGACTTAGGGCAGGGGAAGTTGTGGCTTGGTGGTTGGGCGGTGTTGGCTCCAGATGGGTTGGTTTGCAGCGGAGAGGCATGCCCTTCACTATCTCTGGGAATTGGCTGGCTCTGGGAGAGGCAGCCTCTCCTGAGACCATTAAAATATATACAAGTAAGTATATTTACATATATAAATAACCGTTCTTCCTCTACTGACAAGAGAAACTAGTTTCCCACTCATGGCAGTAGTAGAAAATCCTCTT